TTCAAGTTGAGGGAACATAAATGTAACAAATTAAGGACGGGTTATCAATGTTGATTTCCCAAGTTGCAGCAGCTCTCCTGCCGGTGACTTTAGCAGAGCTTCTGTTCTAGCATCCGCAGAGAAGTCAGCAGTGCCCCTGCCCAGAGTCTGAAAAAAGCTGTTTTCCTTTTGCGAGATGAGATTTTGCTTTGTGGCCTCAGCCTCCTGATTGGAGGACCACGGGTATGCACCCATCACAACCAGTTCTAAAGCAAGGTTCTGGGGTTGAAAGAAGCCACAGGTAGAGCCACATGAGTGTGGGGCCCTTGTTCAAGTGTCACCTTGTGAGGCAGGTTTCACATGCCTGTCTCCTCACTGTTGAGTTGTGTCTCTCCCTACAATGCCGGTTCTTTAGCACTAGAGCGTGTACATGTTCTGTTCGCTGGTGTATTTCAACAGCACCTTACAGAAGACCTAAGATTACCCAGCACTGAGCTTATTAAAAAGGGTCTCTAAGACATCTGTACCTTTGTCACTGGCTGTCCATCACCAAATAGAAATAAGTACTGAGTCAAAATGAGTTTTTTGTAGTTGTTTTTCAAGACAGGGTTTCTCTGTGTAGCTCTGGCTGTCTTAGAACTTGTTGTGTAGATCAGGCTGGCCTTAAATTCACAGAGATCTCTCTGCCTCTGCTTCATCAGTGCTGGGATAAAAGGCATGTGCTGTCACTATGCCTGGCTAAGAGTGACAGTCTTACTGAGCTTGCTACAGCAAAGCTGCTGATCCCTGTTCCTGTGTCTTGTGTTAAGGAATGGCCATGGTACCCAGAGGGTGAACTTTCAAGGCTGGGAAAGAGCTAAAGGGCATGGGACACCAGCAGGGTGGGACTTTAGGCTCTGGTTAAGGAATACTGTTAACACGACCAATAACAGATGATATTCTCTTGAACAGGTATAAAAGTTTGGTCACTGGGACCCGAGCAAGAGGGATCATTGCTGTCCTCTGGGTTCTTGCCTTTGGCATTGGATTGACTCCATTCCTGGGTTGGAATAGTAAAGAGAGTGCCACCAGCAACTGCACAGAACCTGGGGATGGAATCACAAATAAAAGCTGCTGTCCTGTGAAGTGTCTCTTTGAGAATGTGGTCCCCATGAGCTACATGGTATATTTCAATTTCTTTGGGTGTGTCCTTCCTCCACTGCTCATAATGTTGGTGATCTACATCAAAATCTTCATGGTGGCCTGTAACCAACTTCAGCGCATGGAACTGATGGACCACTCGAGGACGACTTTGCAGCGAGAGATCCATGCAGCCAAGTCACTGGCTATGATTGTAGGCATCTTTGCTCTTTGCTGGCTACCAGTACATGCCATCAACTGTGTTACTCTTTTCCATCCAGCTCTTGCCAAGAAGAAGCCCAAGTGGATAATGAATGTTGCCATCCTGCTATCACATGCCAACTCAGTCGTCAATCCCATTGTATATGCCTATAGGAACCGAGACTTCCGCTATACTTTCCACAGAATCATCTCCAGTTATGTTCTCTGCCAGACAGACGCCAAAGGTGGGAGTGGGCAGGCTGGGGCACAGTCTGCTCTCAGTCTGGGCTTATGACCTAGGCTCTGGCCTTTTGTAGAAGGCTTAAAATAAACAATGGGACTCGACATAACTGGCCAATTCTCACTGTGAAAGACAGCTACACCTCCCAAGCATATGAGCTGCCTCTTCTGAGTACTTTCCTGGAGTTACACAAGTCTACCTAATATATATATTCAATTAGTAGGTTCCAAGGTTAATAAATACATTTATGAATCTATTCAGCTGCTCTACTGTGTGGAGGACAGTGGCTTGAATTGATTCCTAAAGACAGTTTTATTTTTAAGAATCTGCCTCATTCATGGTAGAAAATGACTGAAACTTACCTTACTGTGAAACTATTGTGAACTAGTATAATAAAAGTATTTTTCACTTACAACAATGAAAAAATAAAAGTTGGCTATACTAATGTATACTTGTTCCCAGGGCAGCAACCCAAAAAACTAAAGTATAATTCTTCAATCAAGATACTGTTGTGTTAATTTAGGGAATGATAGTTTCCTAAGTTTTGAAGTGGAATTATAATAAAAAACAATTTAAGTTCAATATTTTCCATGTACACAAAATACTAGAAGTAAAAACTGAAGAAATGGGGTCCCTGCTTGACTGGAATTCTGCTTCTAGCCCTAAGTACTGGGTTTGCTTCTCTCCAAAGTTAAAATTGATTGGAACCCACAGTGTGAAAATTTTACTAGGCAAAAATAACTAGTTGTATATTATATTCAGTGAAATAAACCTTTGTAAAAAGCATGTTCATGGCACTGCATTGGCTTGCCATACTTAAAGCATTGCCTGCACCTAACCCTGATGGCTACTTAAAGAGGAAGCTCATCCAGAGTCCAAGTCTCTCAACTACAAAGAAATCCTGATTTTTCTTTGCTACAACTCAACATAATGCTCAGCCAACAGAGAACTGCAGTATGTATTTGGCTTTTTATACAGCAGCTGTTCAATAACAGTTTGTGTTTGGGGCACAACAATGTGGGGGGATCCCTAGGCTATGAAGTCACCTACTTTATCTACTTCTTTAGTTTCTAAAAGGATGAGTGCTTAGAGCTCAGGGAACTCCCGACCCTCTAGGGTCTTCTGGCTGTCATGGTTTTACCTCTTATGTCCTTTTCCTAGGCTGGTTCCTCTTCATAGTTATTTTCTCATTGTTCCTTTGTTCTCTGGGTCTATCTCGTCTCTTCATAGTTATTTTCTTGTTGTTCCTTTGTTCTCTCTGGCTCTATCTCGTCTCTTCTCTCCAACACCACTCCTGGTACCTAGTTTGTCTTTTCTTTTTCATGTGGAATTCCTAGTAGGGTCTAGTTCCCTTCCAGGGCTTCAGTATATCCTTATCCTTATATAAAAGCCTAGAAATGCTCACAGAGTAGACCCAGCTCTCCACGTTGTCCACACCATTCTCCCAGTGCAGCCCAGTCAGCTGCCCTGACAGTAGCACACAGATGAGCTTAGCGAAGACCCCTCATCTTCTCATACTTGCTGCCATTTAGCTACATGTCTGCTGTAGTCCTTTACTAAGGAATAATTTTCTCATTTAAGTTTGCTCTTACTCAGTTTGGCCTACCATCCCACCTTTACAAAATTACTGCAACCTGATCTAGTTGCAGACACATGGTATTGGGCTTTATTAGAGTCAACAATATTGAATTGTACCAGGGATGTTTCTACCTGTGGGGCTAAGAGGTTGGTTCATGTTAAGATCATATGGAGCTCTTAACCACATACAACTCTCTGCAGCCTACAGTGCCAATACAAAGCCCACCATGCAGCCTGTGAGGGCAAAGTGACAGTAGCGAGTCCAGAAGTGTATCTTATTCCTCCACCTTGTGAACCATGAGATGTTGGACACATTTCCTGGTAGGCTTCTGTCTTGAAAGCAGTTGCACTTGCACATTTTATGCTTCTTGTGTCTTCTCCATCAGTAACAGGTCTGTCAGTTGCTTGTCTGACACGCTGAGCTGCTGGCAGTTTCTCATAACCTGACTAAGATAAATTGCTAGGAGATGCTTACACTGGAATACAAAACACAAACCTCTTAGGAACAAGCAAGATCATGTTTGGCCAGTCTAATCAAGACCTCTCGCTATCACATGCAAGGAGGAGAGCGAAACTGCCATGCTTTCAGTTGGCTTCATCCTCACCTTCAGAGTGTGGTTACAGCAATGGTTGACAGTCCTTGAGGCACTATACTGTTCTGTGTTCCTCACAAGTGAGCTCATGCAAATCTAATAGCTACCCAGCAAGTTCAAACTTCATTATAATGAGCATGCACAGCCTCTACTCCACTTTAACCATTGCTATCTTCTGGGGTGTGGAAAGAGCATAGGGAAAATTCTCACATACACACAAATGTGGGGAAATGACTGTTAAACCTATGTCACAGGACACAGTATTGAATCCTGACAGGACCATGGTTCAATCCTGTCATTTTTGGTTGAGCCTAGCCTTTAACAGTTGAGCTATCCCTTCAGCCCTAATCCTGTCATTTTTATAGGTTAAATATACCACACTAATGGCTAGTGGGGGTGTGTATATGAATGAATAGAGATGCTCAATTTGGCACCAAACTCTGAAGATGTTTAAACTGATAATAGCATACAAAAGGGGGAAGAGAAGCTTGAGAGATGGTTTAGTGGTTAAAAGTACTGACTGCTCTTCCAGAGGACCTGGGTTCAATTGTGAACACCCACATGGCAGCTCACAGTTGTCTGTAACTCCAAGATCTGACACCCTGACACAGACATACAAGCAAGCAAAACACCAATGCAAACAAAATTAAAGTAAAAAGTCATTATAAAAAACCTTTAAAAAATAAAAAAATGGAAAGAAATGAGGTGGGTTTTATTCTTTTCTGCTTTGGCAAGACTAAGGACTAACCACCTTCTCTTAGGAGAGGAGAGTAGGTGTTTCTTTCCCTTTGGAGCAAGCAGTGTGCAGACATGTGCTGTCCTTACTTGATGCTTTGGACTCTGATAGACTCACAAAGAAGTATAGATTGAGGTGTTCCTGGTTCATATGAGGGTGAATGTGAGGCCAAGCCACCTTTACAAGCAGTGGGTGGAAGAGTGAGCATCTTTTATTTAGTTCTGTCTTCACTGGACCATCTACATCCCCAGTACTCATTTCCAAGATTACCGTACTGTCCCCGCAATCTCCTCTACAACCTTTTAAATAAAAACAGAACAAAAACCCCAAACCAGGAAACTGGTGAAGTACCACAAATGACATTGCATTTTTGAAGATTAAATTCAAGAGGTGACTAAGACAAGCACAGTAAACCACAATTTCTTCAGCATTCAGGGAAATAACATTTCTGTGTAAATCCCCCACCCCTAAAATGTATGCGGCACTTAAAGTCTGATATGAGGCTAGCCTTTTCTCTCCCAACTTGTGTGCAGTGGCAAGAGCCCATTCTTACCAGCAGACTGTCACTCTTCCGTAACACGGAGAAGGCAAACGCTGGGCATGAGCAGTAATGACAGGAAGCCAGACAAGTGTATGTTTTGCCAGAACTCCCAAGCACCTGGAAAGAAAAGGATGGACAGTGTTAGGAACTCAGAAGGTTTGTTCCTGGTAAACTTCCTGACAACCCATTCAACACTTAAGAGTTGCTGATGGACAGACATCATTGTGAAGAACTGCAGTGCAGCTAATACAAAAGAGGAAGCGCAAGTTTTCTTTCTGCAGTGTGCAAACTTTATCTCTTCAGCTTTCTAGGACTTTTGACAGTGAAAGAATTTCAGTCTAATTGAGCCTTCCACACAGTCTCTTGTTCCTATGTGATGCATAGGTTTCAGTCTGTAGGGGTAACAGGAAGTCAAGAGAAAAGCTTGTGTGCATTTTACTGTGGGGCCCTTCTCCTGTAGTATTAGCATGCATGGACATTTCTACAGCTATCGGTACATTCCCAGAGAGTGAAAATGGGTAAAGAGTGCATGGGAGGCAGGAACAAGGCAGCTCTCAGATGAAGAGAGCAGAAGGGGGTGAGAAGCATTTGGTGGGGAGGATAAATCAAGTGGAGTCTTGTAAAACGGTTGACTCAGCTGCTCAGGATGGAGGTCTCGGGGAAGGAGGCAAGTTCAGATCTGCCTACTCATCCCAGAGGAATGGAAGAAGGACACAGACATGTGGGTGTTGGTGAGAGGCCCAGTACAACAAACGCTCTTGGTGACAGTCAAAAGGAACACAAAGGAAACATAAAGGAAAACAAGGTTTGCCTATGGTGTGATTGGGCCAGTTTGCTGGAGAAAGCACTCTACTGCCAAGTAGCCAAATGTTTCCTGTTGGCACCTTGCTATAGTTGGATTCTGAATGTTCCCCAAAGGCACATGTGTGAAAAGCTTGGTTGCTATCTCCTGGTACATATGGGAACTGGTAGAGCCTTTAGGAGGCAGGATATAGTTAGAGGGAGTTAGGCTGCTGTGGGCATACCGTCGCAGGAGCTGTTAGGATCTCTAACCTTACTGTCTTTGCTTTCTGGCTACCAGGTGAAGAGGCCTTCTCAGCATGCTGTTCCTGTATCATATACTGTAACATACTGTGCTGCCATAGGCCAGTACAACAGGGCCCAGTTACTGTGGATGGAAACCTGTGAAACTGCTAGCCAATAGAAATCTATTCTCCCTTACAGTGACTTATGCCAGATACTCATAGTGATAAACACGACCTAACTTGAGCTGCATCTGAGAGTTAACTTCCAAATGAGGTAGAAGATTATCATCATCAAAGGGAAGTACAAACATTTCAATTACTTTACAATGGCATGTCATATCTGAACTTGCCAGAAGGCTTTCAAATTAAATTTAGGCTTTAAGATGGCAATCTAAATGAGAAAGTCAGGATTTGTTACAATTATAATGTCAGCATTCTCAGGATCCTCTGCCCCAACCTGAGAACAGATAACAGGAAAGACCTTAACTAGAAGAAATAATAGGGTCAAGTGTTATGCTTTTGTCTGTCTGTCTAGTGCTTAATATGATATAACTTTTCTGGTAATCTGGTGACTAAGTCAGCAGAATTCCATGGGGATCTGAGATAACTAGGTATGCCTTTCTACCATGCCCATTAAAGACTAGACCTCATTTAAATCAGGTATTAACACTTACACATGTCCTATCCCAAGGTCTGCTTTGTTATGAACATGACACCCACAGCACTAAGTTGCAATAAAACTGAACAGACATTAAAGCTGATTGCTTCCCACTTAATCCTAAAGAAAACTCACCGGCATTCACAGTGACATGGATAATCATTGGCTCTGCAGAATACCAATACCTTTAATGTTCTTTCTTTACTTGGATCCCTGTCTTTTCTCTCTAGATTTAGACTTAAACAGACAAAGCCTTCAGGACTCTGCAGGTCCTGGATCTATCACAATGCTTCCTGGATTATATTGAATCAAAGCCTGGTTTGATTTAGGGACAGGGATAAATTCTACAGAGGTCCCCTTCCCTTATCCTTTCAAAAGCTGTCTGAGATTCAAAGTAAACTGGTCAAGTCCCTGGGGCAGTAGACACTCTAAAGACAATAAGTGCTTTAATTTGCTTCTTCCTTATCTAGCAGTTGGCAACTAATGAACCCAATAATCAGGCAAAAATCTGAGTTAGAAATGTTTAGAACTGGAAATTGACCTTAGGGGTGATTTAATTAAGTATCTTCATTCTTCAGTGGAAGAAGGACCCTCTCTTACAGGAACTGCTCCAAGTTTTTCCACTCATAGCATAGGCTGGAATGTGCCCCCCCCAACTGAGGTTTTAAAAAAGAAACAAACAAGAAAGAACACACTTAAGACCAGGACTGGACTCTCAGGCATCTGACTGGCAGGAAGTCTGTAGTGACTGGGTAGCTTGTCAGGAGAATGACCCTATCATCAATCAATCACAGGTATAGCCTTATAACCATCTCAGACCCCTTAGGCTACTGCATGTTGGGAAGCTGCATTTATTGTTTCCTGTGATTATTGCCTCTTTCTGTAAAAAGGGTTTACCATTCCTGCTAGCTGTGTGACTGTGTTAGCTTACTGAATTGAGTAGTTGCTTCAACTTCTATCATCTTATACAGCCCAGGAATTAAGCCAGAGTCTTAGGTGTATGACTGAACAACACACCATAAGATTGCTGTGAAAATGTCTGAGAGTTCCAGTCTTATTCAATTCAAGCCAAAGTTGAAGATGACAGCTACGTATCTAGGGAGTCCATTTTTATGACAAAGCAATATAATATAATAAAGGATATGATGGACAACCATTAGGAAAATCATTGACAAAAATAATTTAAATTGTTTTAAACAAAATCTTTAAAATTGTAGCTAGTAGCCAATCACATAATTAAAGGACAGCTAGACGTCTGCCTGTTCTGGTCAAGTGTTATGCTGATAATGGAACAGAGACTGAAAAAGATTTTTAACTTGAAATTGAAAAAAAAATTATAAGGCCAGGTGGTGGTGGTGCTTGCCTTTAATCCCAGTACTCGATAGTTAGAGTACTGAGTTCATGGCAAGTCTGGTTTATAGAGTGAGTCCCAAGACAACCAGGACTACACAGAAAGCCTGTCTCAAAAACAACAACAACAAAATTTATATTATTTTTCTTTTTTATGTAGGAGTGTTTTCCTTGCCTATATGCTGTATACCATATACATGCCTGGTGCCCACAGAGGCCAGAAGAGGGCACCAGATCCCCCTAGGACTAGAGTTACAGGCATTTGTGAGCCGCCATGTGAATCTGGATCCTCTGCAAGAGGACTGCTGAGCCATCTCTCTAGCCCTGAAACCAGAATTCTATGATGAAAAAACATAGGGAAGACTGGAAGGGTCTCTAAGTCTTGGATATTTTAAGTATATAAAATACAAAGAGTTAACATATAAGAAACAAACTCAGTGGCTCCAACTGATTACTCATCTATAAATCCACCATGAGAAAATTCCCCCTTTGAGTAGAAAAGTACTATCCAAAAATTGCAAATATATCCAACACTCATTTTCTTAATGAAGAAACACATGATGATCTGCCAAGTCAACTAATGTCAACTACAATATGGAATGGCAAGTTGATCCATAAGTAGACACATGTATTTGTCAAAGTAGGTTTTGTTCAAGTTGTTCTCTAAGAAAACTGTCACTTTCTTTTAGTAAGAATTGCTGACCTGGTCTCAGCTCTGAGAAGTTCACTAGAAGACAGAATTTAAACAATGAAAAAATGTCTGTTCCCACTGATATTCTTTCTTAGCCTTTTGAGCCAAACACAAACTTGGCTCACCACTGCCAGCATTTCTGTGTCCTGCATAAGATGTGCCTCCCTCAACCATAGCCATATTTACCACCATCTCATGGAGCTGGCCTGGAGAGCAGGTGGTTATGTTGGCCTACTGTTTATATAGTCTGTTTTTCTAGTCTCATGTTGTGAGTCTGGCAGCATGAGGTAGCCGGATTGACTATTACTTTACCCTCTGCATTTCAGTTTCTTGCAAAAGAAATACTTTGCTTTGCTTCTGTCTCATCACAAATCTGTTGTAAGCCCCATGGGACAAACTAAGGTTCATACAGACTTCCTGAACTCAGGAGTCTGACTCATTTTCAATACTTCTGACAACAGTTTTAAAAGATCAACACTGACAAGATTATTCCGTACAGATGGAATAACCTCAAGGAGCATTTTGGCTTTTTCCTATAAATGACATTATGAACAAGATGAAAATATTAATAAATGTGTGTGAGCGTGCCCCTATTATCAACAAGAGAGCAAAGGTTGGTATACTCCATAAGACTTGAGAAAAAGAACCTGTCCCTACCATGTTAGTTCTATACAGTGCTACTGAGTAGAATCAAGTCATATTTATCTTTAGTTTCTAAAATGCCTGGAGATATTAAGTGCAACAAGCCTGGTATAGGAAGATCAAATACTACATGATCTTGTATGTGGATCTAAACTATTCCTGCTTATAGAAGCCAAGCAGAATGGTGGCTACCCAGCATTTTCTGGGTTAGGGAAATAGTTAGAGAAGGAGACAAAGCTTAGGAGATTTACTGACTACACTAACCATGTACTGCAGACTTGAAAATGTCTAAGAGAATGGGCTTTTAAGTGTTCTCATCACAAAAAAAGTAAGCATGTAATATAATTTGAGGTAGTTGGATAAATAGCATGAAGTTATCTCATAGGGTATTGTATATCAAGACATCATTTTGTATATCATATATAGTTTTGTCAATTTAAAATAAACACAAATCTTAAATTATGATTGTGTTAACTTTACTAAGTTAGGTCAAAGCCTCTTAATGGTCCAGGATGCCTATACTTCAGAGATTGTTAATCGATTTATGTCCTAAGGGTTTCTGTTTTGATTACCCCCCCCCGCCTAGACTTCTACCTGGTAAACACGCCTTCCACTGGGTGATGAGATTAAAGTGACAGAGTCTCGGTCAACTAAGTCCAAGGCCTGGATGGCTGACGACCCAAACACAAACTTCAGCCTAGGAGATACAAAGACACTGGATTAGAAGGACTGATTCTGAGTCACCTCAGAAACTTGACACAAAAGACCACTGTCTTTCTTTTCTTTTCTTTTTTTGTGGTGGTGGTGCTGAAAATTGAACCCAAAGCGTCATACCCAGCAGGCAAGCACTGTGCCACTGAGTATACTGCCTCAGTCTTGGCCCTCATTGTGCGTGCTGTTCCTTGAGTGCCATCCACTTCTTTAAGGGATGGTTGCTAACCAGCCTGCAACTTGCCAGGATGCTAGCGCTGTGATTACAAGCACAGGAGTCACACCTGGCTTTAAAGTGGTGCTGGCATCTATGCTTGCAAGACAAGTAGTTTACCAACTGAGCTGCCTCCCTTCCCAGTCCTCAGACTTAAAATAAAAACTAATTTTAATTTGGAAAAAGTATTAACAAAACCATGGACTTGGGTTAGAGAGATGGCTCAGCAGTTACAGATGTGGTTGCTCTTCCAGAGGACCTGGGTTTGATTCTCAAGACCTAGATGGCAGCTCACACCCATCTGAAACTCCAGTTCCAAGAGACCCGATGCCTGTCTCTAGCCTCCATGGGCACTGCGTGCATGTGATGCACAGACAAACATGTAAGCAAAACACCCACATACACAAAATAAAAGATTCAAAACCAAACAACCAATGAAATCAAATCCATGCATTCATTTGTTCCCTAGAATAAATGTTAACATCCTGTTCATTTATTTCAGTTTATTTGTTTTAAAATAAAAGACTAGCCAGGCGTTGGTGGCGCTTGCCTTTAATCTCAGCACTTGGGAGGCAGAGGTAGGCGGATCTCTATGAGTTCGAGGCCAGCCTGGTCTACAGAGCGAGTTCCAGGACAAGTTCTAAAGCTACAGAGAAACCCTGTCTTGAAAAACCAAAAAAAAAAAAAAAAAAAAAAGATAAAATAAAAGACTATAATACTATAATATAGATTTTAAAAAGTTCTCTCGGTGCTTCTTTATAGAGCGCCAGGCAGTTCTTCCCTTTAAGCCCTTTGGCAAGCACTTACTTATTCTCCTCTTTCCCTCTGTCTGAGCCTCCCTCCTTTCTCTCTGCCCTCATACTGGAGACTGAGCCCGGGGCCTCATACATGCCCAGAACATACTCTACCTCTGGACTCCATCTACAGCAGATCTCAAGCTAATTACTGGTTTCTTTCCTGACAATGTTTTGGTATGTTATTATTCATGGAATGACTGTGTTTACATACATGTGTATATGTACCTATGCACATACTGCACTGCTTACCAAGTTTAATAACAGGTGTGTTGCTTCATTCTCCATAAACTAGTCTCACACACAACATCACTAGGAAGAATTGAGAAGGACACTTTCCAATTTCTTATACCAAATACACGAAGATTTATTTAGTCAACAAAAATAAGGAAAAGGACTCAATAAAGAGCTCTTAATCATATATAACCATAGTTAACTCCAGCTACCTTAAAATGGCTTTGTCTGCTTTATGACTTCTGTAAATACCTCTCAAACACCATAAACATTCCTTTTTATTACTTCTGATGGCTATAAAAAACTATACTGTAAAAGTGAATCATGTTTATTCTCTCAAACAGGTTTTGAGTAGATGATTTCCAGGTTGTTCTGTGGTCATATTCAGCCCTGGGTGAATCTGCTCATTGTAAAGTCTTTATGAATAGCACAGTCACTTTCTTGGGAGACATTCTTATAAGTGAAATATCCAGGTCAAAGAATATATATGTTTTAAAGCTGTATTGCCAGTTGCCAGGTGTGGTGGTTTGAATTGAGAATGCCCCCCACAGGCTCATATATTTGAATAGCTTGATCCACAGTGAGGGTGGCTGTTTGGGAAGGATTAGGAAGTGTGGCCTTGTTGGAGGAGGTGTGTCACTGGAGGCAGACTCTGAGATTTCTCAGTGCATCCCCAGTCTCCCTGCCTTGTGCGTGTGGATCAGATGTGAACCCTCAGCTACTTCTCTAGCATCCCGCATGTCTCCTTGCCTGCTGCCATGCTCCCTACCCAGATAGTCATGGACTAAGTCTCTGAAACTATAAGCAAGCCCCAATTAAATGCTGTCTCTTAATAAGTTACGTTGGTCATGATGGTTTGCCACAACAGCAGAAAAGCAACTAAGACACTAGGCTACCTTCTAACATCTCTACCAGCAAGGTATTACTTAACCTTTGCTCCACATTTCATTAACATTTTTCCTGTGGTTGCTAGTTTTATAGAAAAAATATCTTTATTTTGCATTTATGATTATTACTAATATCACTTCCCCCAAAAGTTTTTAGCTATTTGTTTTCTTTTATTATTTGCCTTTTTTCTACTTATTTGTTTACCTTTAAAAGATTTGCTTTATTTTATGCATAAGTGCATGTGTCTGAGCGTGTGTGTGTGTGTGTGTGTGTGTGTGTGTGTGTGTGTGTGTGTGAGGCTTTTGTGAACATGTGTGCTGGGAACTGAACAAATGCTCTTAACCACTGAGTCAGCTCTCCAGATCCTGAGTTTAGTTTTGTTTGTTTTGTTTTTGTTTTGAGACAAGGTCTTGCATATGTTAGGCTGCCTTCAAACTTCCAGTATAGCTGAGGGGGACCTTGAACTCCTGGTCCTCATGTATTCTACCTTCCAAGTGCTGAGGTTACAAGTGTACCACCATGCCCATTTTGCTTTATTTTAATGTTTAAAAAAGTGTGTGTATGGAAGTTTTGTCTACATGCAAGTCTGTGCTCCATGTGCTTGCTGTGCCCACAGAGGCCAAAAGAGGATACTGGGTCTCCCAGAGCTGGGGTTATAGGTGGTTGTGCACCTTCTGACTGGAACTCGGGTCCTCTGGAATAGCAGCAAGTCCAGCCCTCTTCTTATCTTTTAAAAACCAAGAAATGTACTGAATGGATTTGGCTCTTAAACAAGGTAACTCTTAAAAAAATCAAAGAGTATGTACTTACGATGAGAGATGTTCATCCGGGACTGTAAAAAGGGAAAGTTAATCATGTTAGACCGTGGGTACAAACATGGAGCTCTTAAAACCACTATAACCAAACCACCACATAAAGCATAAACAGAACCTCGGATCCAATGCTACTCCTTTCTCAAACCCCACTGGAACAACAATAAAAGGATTTATTATTTAAAGAAAAATCATTAGTTACCAAGGATGAGAAAGGCAGGGTTTGGAAAATAGCAGCTAAAATATAGTGGAAACTGATACCAAAGTGAAATATAACTTCCCAGACCCTAGTAATCTGAATCTAGAGCTAGTGGTAGGAAGAGCCAAGCACAAGTCTGACACATATTCCAGAACTTGCTACCCTCCTCGACAAGCCCCCTCAAAAGAAACCTCAGAACTCATCACACTAGATATCTCTGGAGGTGAGATCAGGCAGGAACTCTAACATAAGATTCTCTGAGAGCCGTCTAAGAAGGATCAATCCCTCTCAGCACAGAGGCAGGCAGATCTCTGTGAGTTCAAGGCCAGCCTGGTCTACATATTGAGTTCCATGACAGCTGGGACTAGATAGACCATGTCTCAAAATAATAATTCTTCCTCTTCCTCTTCATCATCATCATCATCAAAAGGAAGATCAGTCCCAGTTCCTTTTTTAGCTGTGGGTGGCTTTGTTCCCTCACTCTGGCAGATGACCACTGATTTTCAAGAAAGGCTCTAACCCAGGATTTCTGGACTAGGAGAACACACCAAAAACAAAAACAAACAAACAAAAACAAACAAACAAAAAACCCCAAACCAACAACAACAAAAAACAAACAAACAAAAACAAAAAATGGGGACCTGCTGATCTCTTTCCAACATGACTCTTGTGAGATAAGCAACCAACCCTCTTCTCCCCTCTCCCACTGAGCTATTCTTCTTGGCAGGAGACTCACTGGGGAATCTGATCAAGCCAACAGGAAACTGATAATCTTCATCTGTAAGGCCTTGCTTGAGTCTTCTCCTCTTAAACATGGCAAGTAAGAACTACCACAACAAAGTAAAAAGAAAACAGTAACAAGGAATCTAAGGAAAGGGAACAGTGGTCAGAGGGAAAGTTCCAATACCTATTACTAATATCAGAACAAACAAGCTAATGAGATAATAAAATAGGCATGAGGGTCTTCATTATTTTCAGTGGAAAAGCATAAATTAAATATAACATCAGAAATTAAAAACTTCAGAGAAAATCTGGAAGATACAGTTGAAGGAAGTTCTCAAGAAGCAGAGGGACAATAAAGGACATCCCATAACCAAGTGATATGAATACTAGAGAGAAGATAAAACCTCTGTAAAGCACATTAGGAGTGCCATATGGTGGAGTAGAAAACAAAATCTTATCAGAGGATTGAGAATCAGGGTCATAAGATATTACTAGCTCTCCACACACGTGGGAACAACATCTGCGGATGAACCTGAGGGACTGGAACTATGGCTCTGCAGGGTTGGCATCCCAGCTCCCTCATAGTCCAGCCCAAGGGGGATTTGATGCCATCTCCTGGCCTCTGAGGGCACTGCATTCACACAATACACGGATTCAGGCAAAACACCCACACACAGAAAATTCGAAAAAGAAACCGAAAAGCCAGATGTTCACCTGTAACTGACACTCAGAAGGCTTAGGCATGAACACTGTGAGCTTACGGCCAGTCCAGGCTACAAAGAGACCAAATAAAACCAAACAGAAACCAGCACTACCAACACCCCAAGCCCCAACCTCTGAGTCTCTACTAAAGATGTCATTCTTTCGTCATTCTCTCCTAAGAAACACAGGATAGCATCTACCCACACGGCACTGCCACCGCAGAGGTGAGTAACTGCTGATTTAAAACATTAAAGTACAGAGAAAGGAGAGTGTGCGTTATGTGTGATCTTACAGAAGAAACTTGTGCCCGTGATATTCACAACCAGTCCTCCATGGGTATCTAGGAACAGCAGCAATTCAAACACCCAGAGAAAACAAAGGCCACAGACAAAATTCAGGAACTATGCAAGATGCAAAATGCTGGACGATTATGGAATAATGCTTTCAGATGTCTGAAGAAATATTACTTCCAACATGTAATTTAATACCTTTCTTTCAGTGAAGTGTGAGACTAGAAAAACCTTTTTCAGACATTCAGAGCCTCAAAAAGTATGTACTTCATAATATAAGACAGGAAGCAATATATAGGTGAATAGAGAGGAAGGAATCCAGGAAGCAAGAGTGCACATCAGACTGACACCCCCAGAACCTTTCTGGAATCAATGCGTGTTTGAATACGTGGTTGGCCGAATCTTTTACACATATGTAAAAGAGAAAAATGAGAACACTGGTTTAAAACAGTAACTCAAACCCTTTCACAAAGCATGATGAATGGGCAGTAGCAGTTTTGAGCTCTAATTTGACTATTATTTAGAGGGACCATTTTCGGAAGAGTGCTTCTAGTCTACATCCTAGAAGGATTCCACCCTGCCCTTCCTCCCCCGCCTCCCCGTTTTGAGCCAGTCTCCAGTAGCCCATCTGACCTAGCTCTATGTAGCTGAGGCTGACTTTGAACTTCTGATTCTCCTGTCTCCGTTTCCCAAGTGCGGAGGTTACAGTCTTGTGCCTGGTATTAGGCGGTGGAGGGGATCCGCCGAAGCTCAGTGCAAACAGTCTTTAGCTGAGCTACGGAGTACATACATTCTCCTACACCGACTGGTATGCAAGCATCATCTTTGGTCATTTCGTTGAAGACAGGCATAGGCCGCCCTCTGCTGGCCAGAGGTAAAAAGTATTTTTCAACTGCCAGATGTTTCGATTTTGCGACCCTAAAATTTTTATCCGAACAAAGTAAACGAGGGTATTATTCTCAGACTTTGCATCACGAATCGTGGAAAAAGATTTTGAGGAGCTCAAAATTGTCTAAGCCTCTGCCACTCCGAATCCCTGGCCTTTGCCTACTCCTAGGGTGTACCAAGCAGCTCTCTTCAAGCACCCCGGGTTCCCACCCCGCCGCTCGTACTCCAGGATCTGACGTGTAGTCGCTCACACTCCTGGGTTTAGTTAAACAACTCAACGAGCACAGACTTTAGAGACCGAACCATGCGGGGTAGAATTAAAAAGCCCGCGGGCCGTACTTCTCGCGCCGTCCCGCACAGCGGCGGCCATCTCGCTCAGGAGCTCCTCCACGACCTCCGGCAGCGCGAGCGCCATGGCTCGCCCCGGGCGTTCTCCTCAGTTCCGCGGCGAGCTCCTCACGCGCTCCAGGCCAGAGGCGGGGCGAGGCGGCGTGACGTCGGCACGCGTCACCGCGCATGCGGACAGGCGGGGCGTCCCATGCCAGCCTCTGCTGGCGGAGCGCTGAGGACGCGTCGTCGGTATGTTCCGGCTGCTGCGCTGGCGCCTGGGCCGAACCCTGCTGCGGGCCGCGGGCCGGCGGTGCGGAGGCTGCGCCGCGCGCCTGCTGCCCGAGCGGGCTGGCGACACGGGGCCGGGCGCCGAGGGGCGGCCGAGCCGAGGCACGTCGGCGCGGGGGCAGGGACTGCTGCCGCTGTTGGCAGGTGAGCGGCGCGCTCCCGGGCGGGGGCGGGCGGACGGGTGAGGGCGCGGGCCGGTCCCGGTGACCTCTGAGCCGCTTCTCGCAGCGCTCGCCTGGTTCTCGCGGCCCGCAGCGGCGGCGGAGCATCCGGGAGAGGACACGGCAGACGAGTCGGAGGCTGAGATCATCCAGCTGCTGAAGCGAGCTAAGGTGAGGGGCTCGGTCGGGCGTGCGCGCTCTCCGTTCGGCTTTCCCGAAGCCTGGAGGGATTGGCCCCAGGTGGAAGGTTGGGCTCGGTCCAGACTGGTCCCCGATGAATCCTGCCGCAAAACCACTGCAGTCTTGAGTGCAGGTGGGGATGACACCCTCACAGTTCTCTTTTGTCCAAATATACTGATTGAGGATGTTTTGCGGGGGTGGTTTTAATCAGCTAACCAGCCAAGCTGAAATGACATTTTGTGCATAGTATATGCATGACGCCCCGAAAATGCAATTTGGTGTTGATTATGTCTCTTGGTTAGCGTCTAAATCTCTTTCTCCACATTCTTGTGTGTTTTCTGGCCAGGTTCATTCCATCTCTTCCAATGGGTTCAATATCGGCTTAATTTGTCCAAATTTGTGTCCAGACTGCAGTGTGCCATTCACATGCTGTCTCTCTCGTGATGTCCTAGCTACCCCAGACTTAGCATGCGCCCTAGCATGCTCTGAACTGAGCACTTATTCTTAAATGCCTCCCCCAAATATGTTCTTAAGCAGGCTTCACTTTACCACCTGGAAAGTAAGTGATTCTTAAAGTTCGTTGTTGGTAATTCCCACTTACACAGCAATAGTCACAGTGCCATCGGAATAACACAAGTCTTGCTGACCCTGCCCCATCTCCCCAGTTTTTCTCACAGTGGTCCTGTGGTCCTCTTACCCCACTGTAGTTCTCCATGCAGCATCCCAACCTCAGGGATGTTTTGAGAGTGTAAACCAGAATGTAGTGCTTTCTTGCCTGATACCTGAGTGACTTCTCACTCTATCCCTGAGAAGACCCGAGCCCGTCATGGGCTGCAGGATCGAAAGTGACCTAAGCCAGCAGTCTCATCCTCCTGGGGCGGTAACTCTGTGACTCACTGTCCTCTCCCCCTGCCCTTCCTTGCACTTCTGAGGAACCATTCTTTTCAGCCTATTGGAGGGAGCTTCACTCATCTCCATTGGGGTCCCTCTTCTGTCCGTTTTGATATTTGGTTCACCCCTTGTTCTCCTTACCTCATTTTTTTTTTACTCTCATTTCTTGAGCACTTTCCTGATTCCCATTAGATGGGATTCCTTTGAGTTGTTTTTCTTCATTGCTCTTCTCACGAGTTTTAATTACACCTACTTGTCCTACACGCTTCCTTTTAATCTGCGAGAAGAGGGAAAGAAGGTGAAAGACTAGCAGCTTCCTTAGAAAGTAAATGCAGTGTCAGGTGAGGTGGTGCACACCTTTAACCTCGGCACCCTGGAGAGGCAGAGGCAGGTGGACCTCTGGGGGCTTAAAGTCAACCTGGTCTCTGTCTCAGGAGGGGGAAAAAAGGTAAAGACTGCTTATGTTCCTTCTGTTGGGTCTGTTAGTCAAAACTTTGTTGTATGAGCATCCCAAGGTGCAAGGAGGCTGGTCTCCCTGCCGTCTCGTCAGCGTGGTAACCTGAGCGTCATGGGGATGCAATAAATCCATGATGCAGGAATACCTTCCTTGTACATACTGTGATATATCTGCTCTGTAGCAGTGTGCACGTCTGCTTTCCTTACATTTCATTCCGTGTTTTCTCTGTCTTCTCTTTCTAGTTGAGCATCATGAGAGATGAGCCAGAAGCAGCAGAGCTGATTTTGCATGATGCTCTTCGGCTTGCGTACCAGAGCGATAACAAGAAAGCCATCTCTTACACTTACGACTTGGTAACTCCTCTGACCAGTTAGAGCTGTTGATGAGGAAGGATGGATGCTGAGAAAGTGCTCCTCCTAGTTTATCTTCTGGACTCTCAAAATGTCCCGGAGGGTTTTGTTTCCTACGTTTTCTTTTGGTTTTAACTTTTTGTATCCTCTGTGGGTTCACTTAGGATTTCAGACTAGAAAGAAGCAAATGCCTTAGTGTTTTCTCTTCAGTGATGAGCAGACCTAGGTTTAGTTTACTCTCAGCAGAGAGTGTAGGAAAACTCTGTGCGTCTCTCACCATTGCTGCACTGTGCTTCTAACAGATTAACTGGTGATGTTTTCTCTGTTTTGAACTTTTTCTTAAGATTGTGAAAACAAAAGAATCTTTCTCTTAAAGGTTTTTAAATCTGTGTAAAGTGGGGTACTCTGAACTGAGCAACTATTTATGTTTGATTTCAGATGGCCAACTTAGCATTTATACGAGGGCAGCTTGAAAATGTAAGTCAATCACTTTGTAATATCTTGAATTGGTAACTCTTTAAGGGAACAGTAAGGGTATATGTTATTCCTCAAAAAAGTCCCCAGAATACAGTGACTCAAGTACAGCTGTGTTTCTTTTTAATCGATTAGCCCACAAGTAGGCCAAAGACTAAAAGCAGATTAGGCGTCTCTGTTATGTGTTTCAAAAATCTCAGATTCATCTTAAGGTATGTATGTCTTCATCTGCTTGAGTAAGCTGACTCGCCTCCAGCCTGTGGGAATTTGGTGCAAGCAACATCTTTATGAAATGTCTTGAGGGTGTTGGCATTCTCTCTGTGTGTTACTGTTAGCCAGAACTTAACTTCGTGGTATGATCACACTTAACTGTAAGGAAGGCTGATTAAAAAAAACTGAGGATATTTTAAAAACTTAATTGATAGGGTGACTATTAGGGGACAATTTACAATCTATCACATTGGTTAATCTCTTGAAGTTAGTTTCCACTCATCGCAGGGTACTTTAAGGTACCAAGAAGATATGAGGTCCTTATCCTTTGGTTCCTTTATAAGAGTCTCAGTGCTCCCCATATCTGTGTGTGTGTGTGTGTGTGTGTGTGTGTGTGTGTGTGTGTGTGTGTGTGTGTGTGTGTGTGTGTGTGCATATTAGATTGGTATTTAGAATCTAGAATCAAGGATCATATATAGATGGTTTTTTAAAAAATCTTTATATTTTTAGGCAGAACAACTTTTTAAAGCAACAATGAGTTACCTGCTTGGAGGAGGCATGAAGCAGGTAAGGACACTGTCTAATATTGCCTTCTTATCAAAGCAGTTAACAAAATGAAAACTCCTTGATTTAGTTAGGGTTTCTGTTGCTATGACTAAAAGTAACTTGTGGAAGAAAGAGTTTATTTCATCTTAAACTTTCTGGTAAGAGTCCATCACTGAGGGAAGTCAGGGTAGGAGCTCTAGGCAGGTATCTAGACACAGGAACTGAAGCAGAGGACATAGATAACTGCTTCTTACTGTCTTGCTTCATGTGGCTCACCCAGCTTGCTTTCTTAATCACCCAAATCCACTTACCTAGAGGTGACACTACCCACAGTGGGCCGGACCCTCCCACATCAGTTGTGAATCAAGAAAATGCCACCACAGACATGCCTACAGTCTGATGGAGGCTTTTTCTCAATTGAGGTTCCTCTTTCCAGATAACTGTAGCTTGTCTCTAGTTGACCAAAAAACCAACCACGATATGCCCTGTAACCTTAGGCCTAGCACATAGGTATTTTGACAAAAAAAGGTCGTTATTTTCACCCCTAGACCTGTAAAAAAAATGGCTAGTATTTCACTGATTCCAAGTAATGATTGCCAAAGAATTCATAGTTGGTTAATTCCTTTAAAGAAAGAAAGACTGGCTTTGAGACCAAATTTAGTAGAGAAGTTGGAAATACTCCATAGGAAATTTTTATTCTCTCTTGTTTTTGGTCCAACAGGAGGACAATGCAATAATCGAAATCTCTCTGAAGCTGGCCAGTATCTATGCTGCTCAGAATAAGTAAGTATGATCAGAATATAGATGTGGCAATGGCTAGCTAGTAGAGTGATAAGCAGAACACTCAAGACCTTGGGCTTTTAGTTTAATTTACCTGTCAATCATCTGGGTCTCCGAAAAATTGAGTTTCACACTCAAGGTGTTGCATTTCTCATCTTTTAAATTTTGAGGCCTTTCCAGTTTCCCTCTTTTTGTTTCCATCTACTTGAGTGGAACACAGTCCTCATTCCTGTAACTGTACTGTGATAGCTAATCAAGTATTCAATTCTTGCTTGAAATGAGAAGAGAAATTGAGTTAGACCTGTAGCTAACTCTTCTTAGAAGCAAAGGGAACAGTGTAAAAAGTACCACAGTATAATAGACCTAAAGAAGTCACTCTACTGCTACCAGCAAAAGAGGAAGTTAAGTATGAAGTTAAATGGTGAGAATTACTTACGGGTTTTCTCTGGCTCAGTTTACTATCCATTCTGGAAATAGTGCTGTCATAGTTAGGGATTCTTTTGTTGTGTTAAAACATTATGACCAAAAGCAACTTGGGGAGGAAAGGTTTTTTTTGGTGTTTATATATGGAGAGAAGCTAAGGCAAGATCTCAAAATGGTCAGGGACATGGAGGCAGGAGCTGATGCAGAGGCAATGGAGGCTGCTGCTTGTTGCTTTGCTTAGCCTGATTTCTTATAGCACCCAAGACCACCAGTCCAGCGTGGCCCCATCCACGCCAGTCACTAAGAAAATGCCCTACATGTTTGTCTACAACTCACCCAAGGGAGGCATTTTCTCAGTTGCATTCCCTCCTCTCAGATGACTCTAGCTTATGTCTAGTTGACATAAATCTATCTAGCACAAGTGCCTATAAGTGGAATTAGATGTTTTGTTTAAATGTCTTCAGAGCATGTGGAAATAATCGGTAGGATTTTGGAGAGGGATATAGCTAGTAGCAGAGGGAAGTCTGGATATGGAAGTTTGGAATTAGGTTTAAAAATAGTAGATAAGTTTCATTTTTTTAAAAAAAAATTATTTTAGAGACAGGGCATCTCTATGTTGCCCTAGCTATCCCGGAGCTCGGTGTTTAGACAGGCTGACCTCTAATTCATACTTGTATCTGCCTCCTGAGTGCTGAGATTAAAGGTGTGTATCACCACAAATGATCTTGAATTCTTGGATTTCTTTTGCTGTGGTAGAATATAGTCTATTGAGGGAAACCAAGGTAGAGATTTGAGGAGGAACCGGAGCATGAGCCTCAGAGAGTAATGATGCCTCCTGGCTTGCTTTTCCTGGCTTGCTCATTTTGCTTCTTATATATCCCAGGACTATCTGCCTGGGGTAACATGGCCCACAATGGGCTGGCCCTTCCTTGTCAATCATCAACCAAGAAACTGCCACCCCCTCCCCAGGTTTGCTTACAGGATAATCTAATGGGGCATTTCCTCTGCTGAGAGTCCCTCTTTAATCTAGATTGTATCATGTTGACCAAAAACTAGATAGCATGATTGACCCCTTGTCACCTTGACACAGAAACACATCACTGTTCACATATAACCTTACTTTTCGATCTTGACTCCAAGATGTCATATTAATATTACTATCACAAAGTAAAACATAATCTTTTTTGAGACAGGATCAGTCCTAGCTGTTCTGGTACTCACTGTGTAGATCAAGCTGGCTTCCAACTCAGAGATCCACCTGTCTCTGCTTTCTGAGTGCTGGAATTAAAGGTGTATATCATCACTCCTGGCCTAAAACATAATATAACTTTAAAAGTTGCATAGTATTAAAGTATTTTTTTCAAATGCTTTAAAATTCAGCCTCTTTAAAATATCCAGTTGTGGGTTTTGTTAAGACCAAAGTAAGGTGCATACTTTCTATTCTAAGAGGGAAGAACCAGGGCATGGCTCTGATCAAGTCAAAGCAAAACCCAGTTCTTCTCAGAAGTGTAAATAGCTGTTATGTCTGAGACTCAAGATCTTCTGGTCTCCAAAGGGCTAGGCAGCTCCAGCTGGTTCTCCCCTGCATACATAGCTTATAGGCTTGGTTCAGTTCCGCTCCACAGCTGTTCTGTCTCTGGCAGTTGTTCTGTGATATTGGTCTCCAATATGCTGGGGCCTCCACCACAACTGAGGCTGCACTGTGACCATTATGCAGGACCTCCTCCCTTACCTTACAGGGCCAAAGCCTTAGCCATTACCTACCTCAGTGATGCTGGTAGTAAAATCACCACTAATTTCTCAGCTTTGGCTAAGCAGCATTGACTCCTCCAGCAAAGCAAAGGCTTCATTTTATGTGAATAGTGTTGGTCTCTTGTTGATCAGTCTGATTCTTCAGGTCCAGCTGATGAAAAACCACAGATTCTTATTACAGAATAGCACACAAACAGCCCTGACAGTCATTGTTTCACTCTGAAAGTCGGGCCTCATTTGTCGGCATATCTACAGCGTCCCTTTCTTCCACTCCCACCCCCCAGCCTGTTAAGCATTGAGTTGCTTTCCCAGGCTAAAATTTCAGTGTCCTTCCACAATTGCCCCTAAAACAACTTGGTCGGGTCTGTCATCCATACCCCATGGTCCTGGTACCAATTTCTGTGTTAGGGTTGCTTTTGCTGTAGTAAAACACCGTGACCAAAAGTAACGTGAGGAGGAAAGGGCTTATTTTATTTTACAACCGTTAAGTCACACAGTATCACTGAGGGAAGTCATGACAGGAATTCAAAGCAGAAACCTGGATGCAGAAACTGAAGCAGAAGCCATGAAAGCACTGCTTACTAGCTTGCTCTTCTTGGCTCGGTAGGTTTGCTTTCTTATACACCTGGGAATCACCTGGTGTAGGCACCACCCATACCAATCTTCAGTTAAGAAAATGCCTCACATTGCCTACGAAGCCAGTATAAGGGTATTGTTTCAGCTGTTCCTTCATCTTAGTTGTTTTTCCCTTGGTTCTAGATGACAACACGTTACCTGGTACAACCTTTCATTCCTTTGTCTCTAGGTAGACATTGAAGGGGGAACACATGGTATGTAAATCAGGATCATCTCTAGAGAGTTCTATTTTGGGAGTGGGTTTGGGGAGAGAAGTAAGGCTAGTTTCCTTTAGATTTTTAGCTGCTGCAGAACTTAATGCCAGACATTTGATGTCAGGTAAAGCTAGATGCAGTTTAAAAAAGTTGCTCTTTGGGGTGGAGGTCCCAACTCTGGCCTGTATTCTAGTCAACAACTCCATTTTCATCAGCCTGCTTAGTCTCTCTGCATGTTGACTGGGCACTAGATAGACTGGAACTTCTATGGGACTTTGTCTTCAAGTCTTTGTGGGTTTGAGATGGGGGTTTATTCTGTAACGTATGCTAGCCTAGATTACAGAAATAAAATATAGCACAGCTCTTGACTTAAATCTTGAGCTTCTATTTTGACTGGTGCCAGATAATATTGCAGCTGTGCCCTCTTGACAGTAGCAACTTACAGGACTGGATGTTAACGATGTCTCAGTTCCTCTGACAAATAGAAGCTCAAAGCAAACAATGATGAATGCTGAAAAATAAGACAGATAAGTCTCATAGAGCTAGAAGTATCTATTAACAATTAGTTTTTAAATCACTTTACTTTTCTCATGCTTTTTAATAAGGGAAACATGAGGTAAGAAAACACATTGCCAGATTGTGGGCTTAGAGAGGCTGAGTGTTGGGTTATAGGTCAGTGTTGGAGTGCTTGCCTAGTGTGTGTGAGGCCCTGAGTCCTTCAGGTAAAAGGCTGATATAGGGATTTGTCTGTAGACTTCTTACTTAGACAGCATCTTGTGGCATACCCTCTTGCCATGGGCCTGGAGGCGTGCGTCTCTTCTACCAAGGTTTGGGACTGGAGAAGGAAGAAGATGCTTTATTCTGAGAATAAAGTTGAGCAATAGCTCATCAGATTCCTCCTGGCAAAGCACTAGAGGAGAAAGGATGAACTTTACAATGTCGGTGGTGGTAGAAAAGTAGACCCAGTGTGGAAGAGCAAGAACCAGAGTTGAAAAAGGAATCTCTTCATGTTCCTCTGCAGCTCTGTAGATACTACCCAGCATCAATCCAGGTGTTTGTGTGTCTCCTCAGTTTGTCTCAGGGCCCAGGACTATACATCAAGCCTTTCTATGATATAGATAGTATTTTGATTTCCGAAGAATTAAAAAAAAATTTAAGCCAAAACACAGTTTGAGAGAAACGTTCAGCCCCCAAAGTTTCCCAGAAGTGCATGGTGGCAACAGTAGGGAAGCTCAGGGCCAAAAGCCTAAGCCTCAGGGTAGGGTTTTGTCATGTGGAGAGATAGACTTGAAACTCTATAGTGGGAGATAATGAAAGACTAGTGGTTATACAGCAATGAAAATGTTGGCAGCATCCCTTAATTTACCTTAAATAAATGACTTGAAAGCAAACAAACTGGAGAAATGCAGATACAGCCTAGAGATACAAACTTCCCCCTATTGATAATGCTTCCAGCAGAGCTGTAATTGTGAGTAAAGAGGAGTTGGAGAAAGGGTGAGCACAGCTAACTGTTTGTTGATACTTGTTTCCAGACAGGAATTTGCCCTTGCTGGCTATGAATTCTGCATTTCAACTCTAGAGGAAAAAATTGAAAGAGAGAAGGAATTAGCAGAAGATATTATGTCAGGTAGGAAAATTGACTTGTCTAGGTGTTGGGTTTTCTCCACAGAGGTTTCCGTTGCTGAATGTTCATTAATAGAAAGAGCCTGTGTTGCTGGAGAGAAAATTATTTATTCTGGGAAGTTAGTGGCTATTATAATGCCACTTGAAGTAGGGTGTTTGTTTAAATGACTAGGCCTCTTAGTTGACAGGTTTATAATTACTCAGCTAAATTCTGCTACATTTGTAATCTTTGGGGAAATTGATAAATATAAAGAAAGTCTTTTCTTTTTGTTCAGTCACGTCTTAACATAGAGCTGGATGGGAAACCACTTGCCTGCCAGGTGCCAATCTGTGTATTAGGGAGAGAAAGAAAATAAATCTAAATATGCAGCAGGTTAAGGAAGAAGAGAAAGTTCATGTTTGCGTGGGCCATCTACACTCATAAAGGCTGGGAGCGTAGTTGGGTGGGTGGTCAGGGAACTTTCAAGTTCTGTGTTTGAGTTTCTCTCTCTCTATCTCTCTCTCCTTCTCTCTCGAGACAGGCCTCTCATGTAGTCCTGGCTGGCCTGGAACTTCCAATATAGACCTCTAATTCTGAGATAGCACCTGTCACTGCCTCTTGAGGATCAAATTAAAGGTGTATGCCTTTACACCGGATTTTTGTTTGGGTTTCATACTTGGTTTGAAGTACTAGGAATTTGAAGATTTTACGTTTATGTAGAAACTTGTTCGGTACTGACTATACCAAGAGATAGCAAGATGCTATGAGACCACAAACTACTTTTCATCCTTAAATCAAAGCTCCTGCAAAGAGTTGTATATCCCTCATGTCTTCTAATTCTCTGTTGAACATAGTCAGGTTTTCTTCTCTACAACTCCACAATGTCACCAAGTCTAGCACTTAACTGTCTTACTCATAGTTGCTTTGACTCATGGGATCACTGTCTCCTATGGGGAACATTATCCCTTGGCTTCTGGGGCATCTCATTGATCCATCCCCTTCTTCATCCCTGCTTCCAGATGGTGGCTGGCCTCAGAGATGTCTTCACCTGCTTCCCTTCCATCTGGCTCACACCCTAGGAAATGCCATGTAGTCCTATGACATTCAGCTGTTATATTTATACCTCCCAGGTTGATATCTGGCTGGCACCAAGACAGAACTTATTGGTCTGGTCTTGCCTATACTGTGTAATGGTTATTCAACATCAGACATGTCCAAAATGGATCTTTTGATTTCTGCTACTCAAAAGTCTCTCTTTCTCTCTCTCCCTTCCCACTCTCTTCCTCTTCCTTTCCCCCCTCTCCCTTTCTTCCTTTTTCTTCTCTCTCTTTCTCAGATAGGTTTCAAATTTAAGGCACTCACTCCTGCCTCAGCCTCTTCACTACTGTGAGCCATTGTCAATAGCCCTTGATTTATTTAATCTCTGTGTGTTTCTTTCTCTCTCATTCACTCTGTCCAAGGTCTCTGTGTATCCCAGGCTAGCCTCAAACTTACTGTATAGCCAAGGATGACTTCCTGCTTCTCATCGTCCTGCCTCTACCTTCTGAGTGCTAGGATTATACCATACTGGTTTCTGTTGTGCTGTGGATTGAACTCAGGGCTAGACAAGCACTTTACCAAATGAGCTGCATTTTTAACCCCTTGATCAAGAGTATAAAACTTTATTATACTCTTTATTATATACCTTTATTGTTAAGAGTATAAGGCTTTTTCCAGCTCCAAAAGTAGTTATGTATTTTCTAAAGAAAATTCTGGAGAGCATTATGAAGAAAGTGAAGATAATCTTGTTGCTAAGAAAGAATAGCTTTTTACTTTCTAATATAGCCTGGCTTTTAATAATACACTGTGAAAATATATTTTTTTTCTAGGCAAAAGAATAATTGTTGGATATGCAAGCTGATTTCTTTTTGTGTGTATGAGTGTTCATGCTCATGTGTATGCATGGAAGGAACAATCTTGTGTGCCAGAGGACAGGCTTGGGCGTTGTTCCTCAAATGTTGTCCATTGTATTTTGGGGAGTCAGGTTTACTCACAGGCCTTGAACTTGCCAAATAGGGTTGGCTGACTGGTCATCAAGCTTCAGGAATCCCCATCTCTGCTTCTCTTGTGCTGGTATTACAAGCATATGCCACCATCCATGGCTTTTTAAAATATTAATCTGTGAGTAATTGTGGATGAGGTTAAGTGTGCTGGGCAGAAGAGTAGCCATTATGCTCCAGAGTATAATGGGGGTCTTCTGGGACAAATCTATGAAATATTATCATCGCTTATCTGTATGTGGAAAAGAGGTATTTTCTGAGGAATCAGATCATTTGTTGGTTGTTTGTAGTAGCTAGACTTGGGGCTCCTGAATCCAATCTAGTGCTTCTTCTATTGTCACATTAAACAGAATTCAGTATACATACATACATACATATATATTCTGGCATCAGGTCCTGGCATGGCAAATGATTTTCCAAATTCAAGTGTAATGGCTCATGCTTACATTTTCAGCATTTGGGAAGCTGAAGCAAGAGGATTATTACTATGAGTTTGAGAACAGCTTGGGCTACAGAGTGAGACTGTATTAAAGAAAGGGAAGGCTGAGGAGATAGCTTAGTCCATAAAATGCTTTCCGTGCAAACACTAGGATCCAGGTTCAACCCCCAGAACCTATGTGAAAAGACATGGTGATGGAAGCTTAAAGTCCACTGCCGGGGAGGCAGAGACAGGAGGCTCCCTAGGCTTCCTGGCTAGCCAGCCTAACTTGTTGGTGTGTCCTGGGTCCCAGGAAGAGACCTTGTCTCAAAAACGAAGTGGACAGTTCTTGAGGAACAACACTGAGGCTGACCTATGACCTGATTTCTTTTTATGTGTATGAGTGTTCATGCTCATGTGTATGCATGGAAGGAACAATCTTGTGTGCCAGAGGACATGCAGGCATACCATTCACATACATACACCTGGCACATAACAAAAACACAAAAATTTGTGTGTGTTCTGTATGACTAGCCCTGTACCAAAAGGACATTAGGGAAAAAGATATTAAAAATTGGTCTGGGTTTTTTTGTCCCCGTGTTGTAATGTAGATACATGTGTAATTACTGAAGACATCATCATTGCACCCATGTCAAAGCTGGATGTGGTGCAGTTCCCTGGTAATAACGGCAGTGGGGAGGTAGGGATGGGAATCTCTGGGACTCACTGGCTGGCCAGTCAGTCTGCCCTAGTCCCATAAGCTCCAGACCAGTAAGAGTCCCTGTCTCAAATTCAAGGTGAGCAACACTGCCTCAGTGTTGACAAAACATACAGTTTAATTACATACAAAGTAGCATACGTAGTTTGTAAGAGCCTAATTTCCTATAATACATAGACCAAGGGCTGAATGATCTAAGAATTAGACATATTTTCTCTGGTTGTTTAAGATTTGTAAATTTATAGTTCATTTGTGTTTTTCTGCGTAGTTTATTTTTATTATGAATATGTATTTTTCTTCCAATTTAATTTCTACAGCTCCCACTATACTATTAAAAGTCAAATATAAGACTTTAACATTTCCTTGCCACACCCCCCCCATCTGTTTTCAAGTGAACCACTTCCTTCTGACATTTTTTCTTCTGTGTGTGCACACATGAAATATGTAAGTGCATGGACTTGTGAGTGGAGGCGAGAGGTCAGCCTTGGGTGTCATTCCACATTGTTGGTCTCCTTGGCCTGGAGCCTGACTGGCCAGTGTCCCTAAGATCCACCTTTTGCCTTTCCATTTAAGCATGCCAAATCCCTGGCTTTTCAGATGTGGACTCTGGGATGGGAACACAGGTCCTTGGTACTTTTTGGGAGCTATTGGCTTACAGAAGAGTTAAGATTACAATTTTTAGTTGTGTCTATATATAAATATGTAAATAACACTACTTGCTGAGCCATGTAATATGATTATATAATTTTATTGCCATATTTTGTTTTCTTTGGAGTTAACTTGCTTTTTGTTGCTTTTAAATTTTATTTTAAAATAATTTTATGATATTCATTTATTTGTGTGTGTGTGTACATGCCCAGGCATTCATGTGTGCCCCAGTGTGCCTGTAAAGGTCAGTGGATAACTTGTGGGACTTGGTTCTGTGATAAGACACCATGACAAAGAAACTTATAGAAGAAAGGATTTATTTGGGGCTTCTGGTTTCAGAGGATTAGAATCCATGGCATCATGGTGGGGATCATGACATCAGGCAGGCAGGCATGGTACTGGAGTTGTAGCTGATTTGGTCAGATTAGTTACTCTTCTAGTCTCTGGTAGGAAATTAGAAGCAGTATTCTCTTTAGAATTGGACAAGTTAATGTATGTAAAGCATTAGAGTAGTGACTAATAATACATAGCTACAACTGAGAAGATGTTAACTATTAGCTTTTATTTTTGTGAAAGGCTGTATGCCCTTTCTTGAAGCACATTAACTTCTGTAGCCTTATCAGCTTTATTGACAAGGTTTCAGATATAGATGTCTTGTGTAGTGAGGCTTATCATTTGTTTGTGCTTTTCCTTGGGGAGGCGTGATTACCATGGTATGCTTTTGAAGGTCAGAGGACACCTAGGGTGTTGTTCAGACCTTGCACCCTGTGCAAAACAGTGTCTCTTATTGTTTGCTGCCACAGACTAGGCCAGTTGGCCTTGTAGTCCCATGGTTTTATTAAGTGTGTATAAATGAGTCTTACAGTTTGTGTTCAGTTTAGGGTATTTTTATGATGTACATGATATTCAATATGTATTTCATTTGTTTTTACTAAGTTTTTTTAATTAAAAAAATATTTGTATCTGTGAACCTGCTTATGAGTGCAGGTTCCTGTGGAGGCCAGAAGAGGGTTTTGGAATCCTTGTAGCTAGGGTAACAGACAGTTGGGGGAATTGAACTCTGGACCTCTGCAAGAGCATCACTTGCTCTTAACTGTTGAACTATCTGTTCAGCCCCAACTCTTATTAATTTTTAATAAACACCAAGTTGGTGTCTTGTGCCAGGCATTGTTTTGGAATTTGAGTTGCAGAAAGTGAGGTA